AATGGAGACGTTACTGGCGCCCGCTCGAGGAAATCGATGATCAACGGGACGACAGGTGATACAGGTGATAGTGGATGACAAATCGAGAATTCCAGTAGACCAGCAAACCATAGTCCTCACGTAGTCTTCATCTGTTTTCGGCTAAGACTCTTCGAAAATGTGCCGTTCCGAAAATTTACCAATCCGAGACTTTTAATTGCAAAACGTGGCTGGGTAGTCCATACGGTTGTATGTTGTTACGGGCAAGGAATCAGAATGGATATTCAACCATCCCCAAACTCTTCCTGAAATGGGATAGAGCATTCATGAATGAGAGGCGTAAGTTGGCTGCGCATGAGTCTAGATCTCGTGTGGGGTGTGTGAGTAAAAGCTACGTTAAGAAAACTCTTCCTTCCGTGTGTGTTACTAGCGGAAATCTGGAGAAAATAAAGCGTCACATGAGCATATCACAGTTTTTGCCTTACTGTTTCCGTGGTTTTGAGTTGTCCGTGAGGTGCGTTTTTGATTATCTTACTACTAATAACTGTTGGAATGTAAGCCTAGGAAAATGAATCTCTTCTTGATGAGTTCCACTCTTGGTCACCATTTTGTTATGCAGGGTTTTCTTGTTCTTCTGGAAGCGACGTACTTTGATGTTTTTGATGTTTGCCGACGACTCCCAGCCGTGCGAATAAGGTTTCTATGCTTGTTCCCAGATCTGGAAACAGTACGAGAAGATAGAATGAGTCATGTGGGAATCCTGAACAGTTTCGCAAGCAAATACCTCTAAGACATAGTGATATTTGCATTTTCTCTATCGATTTACTACTTAATTACACTAATTATGAAGGTGCATTTTTTAACTAGACAAGAACTTGACGAAAATGTATTTCGCGCTTCACTTGATCACAGTAGTCTGAACTCCCAGTGTTCAGAGATCGTGTGCCAACTTGTTATTTTTGTTATCTTGTTCTAATTCAGTACTAATTTATCACCTCCTTAGTTTGCACTATACTGCACCTTCAGGGGTAGATCTGTTCGAGAACTTTTCAAAATTCAGAAATTCCTAGCTTGCACATGATTCCTCATTTGTAGTCTCTTTGCTCGGGAAATTTCTCCTTCTGTTCTAAAAAACTGTGATAAGCCCGGGTAGATTATAAATAGAAGGAAGATTTCTACTTTTGTTTTCGGATTTGTGCATCTAGAGCACCGGAAGCTTATGCACTGCAGCTAGCGGTTTCCGTCTCCTACGTGCTGCTTACGCCTTTATTCCCACGCCGTTGTGTTGTTTTTGCGTAAACCCTATTTGGGGATTCATTCGTTATGTTGCGACTTACCTTGAAAATCCATCGAAAAAATGACATTGTTGTGTGAGCGGCGCCTGTGTCAGGTCGCCTCTGATCTTCCCGACCATTTTCTACAGTTTTTTTTCATTGGTGCCCTAAACTAGGTGTACAGCTAGGAAAANAAAAGTGCAATAGTAATTCTATGCAGCATACCTGAATGCGTTGTTTCATCAGAAAGCGTTTTGCGTTTTTACGTTTTCGTAGTTGAAAGCGAATCTTTTGGCGAATGACTGATTTTTTTCCTGTAGGAAACCGAAGTTGTTGCAGGATTTGCTTTCCATGTTAGGGGGTTACACTTGTGATGCAGCTGATTTCTTATTTATGTAGATTAGATTTGGATTTATTAACAAGTCATTCAAAAATGTTTTATTTGGAAGTTTTTCATTTGGAGAAGTGAGATTGGTTCAGATTCGAACGGAAGGTCGGATTTTTTTAGTTGTACTGACTTTTGAATTTGTTTTAACGGAAGATTTAGTCGTCAATATGCAAAACTGGAGGCTCTCCGGTTCTGATCTCATTGAAGCCATCAATCGTATTTCTCTATGATTTTGATTCCACTTCTCAGACTCTCACTCTTATTGTGAAGTTTCTCTCGTAAGATTCTTCTTTACTTGTCTTCTGTGGCTAGCTTGGTATACTGAGTTTCATTTGATCCTTGTTTTGTGGTATCTTGCCTTGCAAGAAAAGGCAAATGACGGAATTCTGCTCTAAGGGATCATTTTTATTTAATTGTCTTAAGGATTTTTTTTTCAAATTAATTCTTGATTTCTTTGATGAACTGTTTGAGTGCTTTCAGAGTCCAAAGACGTGGTTATTTCAACCGACGTGCGACTAATCGACAGCTTGCTGGTCGCGAGTTGACAACGCTACACCGATCGGTACCGCTCACGCGGCCCTGCGCGCAATCTGTCCTTATTAGTTACCACGTGGCCAGCAATGCTGTCGGCAGTTCGCACGTCGGTTGAAACTTAAGCTCTTGGAGCGCCCTTCGAGCTGCTGAGAAAACACTATTGCAGGTGGTCTGTACGTGAGAACGAGGGAGAGTTCCATAACGACGTCTGCAGTATACGTTACGACAATAAGGAGGAGTTGGCACAACCACCTTTGTTTGGAGCAATGTTTCATTTCACACTGGATTGCCAAGTGAACTGCCCGGAATTCCTCGCATATTTTCCACTTGTGAAGCAGTAAGTTCTTTTTTTTTTCGTCAAATGCGCCATTTTTCGATATTGAGACAAGTCAAACCATAACGAATTAGATCGCCTCGAATGTCAGAAAAGTAAATGATGAAGCCAGCACGTTCTTGTTCGAGATGAAGGTTTCATCCAAAATAATCTGGTTTCTCGATTCTGTCTCAGTGCTGTAAATCTCACTGAGGTAGCGGTATTTCTGAGGCAGTACAGGCAGCTGTTTACGTTGAAATTTGCGAATATTACTTTCTGCCTTTTTCACATTAGTATTTGACATATTACATTAATTTGCTGAGCTATCTCGTTGATGTTTCATTGAGCTGAACTTGCTCATTTTTGTTCTGGGTTACTTCAACAGACATCCAAGAAGGTGAATGATCGTTGGATGTGATAATAAGTTGCTGCCATTATTGGCCGGTAGTGAGTGCGATTAATGCAACTACAAGTCATTAGTTTTTATTGCCATAGGTGTTGTCATTATTATGTGTTGCCAGGTGAATGGTAGTAGTTGAAAGCAATCCATGGCGTAGTATCGATATCCATGGTGTAGTATCGGTTAGGTATCGAACTGTTGCTATCACTTATTTTTATGTGATGCAGGAGTGTTGAAGTAAGTACAGTAGCGAAGCGACAAATGAGCTAATAAGATTTGGATCAATGCCAGGTTGCGGTTGAATTTTGTTTATATTTTGTTCATGATCTGACTATGATGAGAATATTGTTGAGAAGCCGGTCAGGTACGTTACGATATGCCTTAGATTTCTAGCGGTACGCAGAATTATGGCCTCATAGGGCTGTTTTCCACCCAGATCCCTGTTTCATCGTCCCTAATTGAAATCAAAGCTCCCGTGCCATAACACAGCTTATTTCCCACAACTGTTTTGCGTATTCCTTCGCGTCTAAATATTAGGAGATTCAGTTGCTATGTACGGCAAGCGTTTTCGCACGGCATGGTGGCTGGTGTTTTTAATCGGTAGAAAACTCGACGGTAGGATTCAATCTGTAGTGGAAGAGACGAGTGACGGAATGGAATCCTCCGCGAAACACATTATGGTATCTTACAAAGCTGAGAGAAAATTCGGCTACGTGCCTCCAATTTCTTTGGGAATCGTTTCGAAAATTCGTTCTTGCCTGTTCCGCACTTCTGAGGAATTTTCCAGAGCTCCTCTCTAGCAGATTAGCTAATCTATTGCGTAGATTCCTTTCTTATAAAGATATTGCTGAGCGTTGATTGAGAAAATGGGCACATTTTAGGTAGCGTTCGAATCAGTTTTATTGGAGCAGCAACCCTAGTAAATTTAATGGTCTAGGAATCATATTTGTCGTTTTCGTTGCTACACTACACGGAATTGATTATATTAAAATGAGCTCTTTCAAGCACTTCATTATAGACGTTGGTTGAGTCATAAAAACCGAGGGGACGTGAGATGAAAACGAATTCAGTTTATCTATCGGCCGTATGAATGAATATGGTATGATCAGCTATCCTTTCAAGATCGAGAATGGCTAGGAGTAATTTTCAATTAATTTTGTTATCATCTCTTGATAGAGTACGTATCTCTATAGAGTATAGTATATAGAATTGGATTTCCAAACAATCGGAATATTTGCTATAAATATTAATAGGTTGGTGCATAATTATTGCGGATTTTTTGCGGCTTCTTTTCTCTCGATACAGTTCGAATATTGAATTTGGAATTTGGCACAGTCAGAAAGTGATCTAAACGAACTTCTCGACAATGGAACAGTCAGCCAAAGCCGGACAAAGAATGGAATCTGCTTCTTCGTTGGCCTTGTTCATTAACATGATTATCACGACAATCGTCCGTTGAGAAATTGGCTGGCAAGAAATGGATGATTTGATGGACGTCAAGGCGTGGATCGCCTCCAGAATCGAAACTTCTTCGTCTGTGGAATCCGACTGCCTAGCAAATGGGAAGCAGTGCTTGACGTAGATGGTGGATATTTTCTTGAGTAATTACGTAAACATGTCTTTGCTAAATATTTCTATCGTTTCTTCAAGTAAAATTTGCTGTAAAATCCACAATAATTATGCATCAAACTAATAAATTATGCAAGTTTTCTTGCGGTCGTTTGGTAATAAAGGCACAGAGTTTTTTGACTAATCTAAATCGTACTTGTTATTTTACCTATTTTGTTTTACATCCATCAGTTTTTGTTGAGTGCATGGAACATTTATGAAGCATGGGCGAGATTAGCTGTGTGATACATAGCGGTAATCGTCGTCTTTTTCGCCATCGTTGAATTCGAACACGGTAAATTAAATTTGAGGGCAGTATTTACTTCTAATCAGTGCGATGCTGCTTGAAGTTGATTATGCCATCTATTTTCACTTTGGAAGCGGACCAATGTTAAATTTGCTTCGATAATGATGGAAGAGCGAAAGGTTTTATGATGTAGTGGTAAAATCTCCACCACTAGTTTTCCTTCCACATCAGTGGCAAGAAATGAGGATGACGAGTCAGCCGTTGGCTGTAATTGATCGTATATAGATAGTGGTCATTGAGATGAACCAGTTTTCTTTCGAGTAGTGTCCGTTCGAAACCGATTGCTTGGTTGCTGAAACAATAACGACAGGTAGTTCAGCGCGAGTTGTGCGTGCATGCGCTGAGGACCAATCGCGTATCGTCGCAAAAAAACCATAAGAAAAACAGTAGTGAATGTTGACGGGCGGTGATTACAGTCAGCGGGAAGCACACGAAACTGGTTCCGCCGTGGCCATGGCGGTGTTACGGTAGCCGAGATGTGACCACGCAATATCGTACGGTAACTTTGTTCTTAAGTTTCTGTTATTTTTGAGTTTGTGAAAGGTGGGCGTTAATTTTTTTAACGAACGAATAAACAGTAAAGTGTCTCCCACTATAACCAGGGCCTTTTGTTTTGAATTCGATTTTTCAGGTATCCTATAAAATCTAATTTAAATTTGTCGTTTTCGAGAGGTTATGCAGTTTTTAGAACATGTCGTAAGGTGTTCTACGTTTTCGTTTTTTTTGTGGACTTGGCGAAAGCAAACAGCAAACGAGGTAGTGCTGTATTGTTAGAAGTGCCGTATTATCAATTCTGTTGTATCATTTGTTGTAGGTGCATTAGACGCAGAATTCAAGCGCATTTGCATGGCTGACATACTCATAGTTTGTTCCTATGCAGAATCGATTGAATATACATGAATATACATAGTGTCCTTGTAAGTCACCTTCTCGCTTCACTTCAGGTTGTCACTAGGACGTGATACCTTCCAGTGATGACATGTTAACACTAAACGCTTTAGGGTTCTACCACATTCTTATTTCCATTGCAGAATCCGTTGTCGAGAGAAGCTGCTGCCGAAGCTGTATCGGTGAAGCATCATCTTGATGGTTTTTTTTATAATACTAAGGGCTGGAGCGTAGTTGGTTTTTTCCTAGTGATTTATTGGCACTTTAATACTAGACGAACAATCAGTTCGTAGGTGGTTCGGAATTAGGACAGATAAGTGGGTTGGGATAGGATAAGTGGCTTCACTGTGAATCCACTACACTAAGTGCAGAAATGTAGTCACTCTCTTCACCTCTGAAAAATATGGCTTTAAAATATCGAGGAACGGCGGTGGATCACACCCTGTCCTTTTTCGAACGAATTTCCATTGCTCGTAGATTATCTAGTTGAAGAAGAAGATGTCATATTCCTTAAAGAGTCATTTATTTCAACTTAGAAGGGACTTACTACATTTATACCACGACAGCCATAACTGTGTTATCGTCTATACAGAGTTGCTATTTAGCCCAATGTGGGTCTTGTGGAGTAAGGGTTGCGTTGAGGAGTGCAGCAATAACGCTGTATCTAAACATATTAATGCAATTCGAGCGTCATTGGTAGGCGTGAGGAGTTAGCCACTCCCAAGTATTACCTCAATGCCAAAGTCTTGCTTCAAATCAGTATTTCATTCCTAGAACACCACCTCACCTAAATGAGAATAGGATATTCATCATGTAAGTGAGCAGATATTTGAAATTCATTGTAGTTGCAGAATTTTTGCTAATTGATCATGTAACACAACTCTCTCCGTTGTTCACGGTATTTCATGTATTTGTGGTTGATCAGTTGCGTCTGGAAGGCCAACTTCTCTTCTGCATTGGGTTTACTGGTTTTCGATGTAGAATTTTTGGTTCATTTTTCAGCCTTCTTGAAGAACAGGGCATGGAGTTGGTGTTTGCAAGGCGATTCCCGGAGGCATTGCAACACTGGCGAACTACTAGTACGGGATTAATGAGTAGAATGCAGGTACTTAATTTGAGATAATAACTTAACAAAACTATCGCTGATCGATCTATTTTCGTCGCTCATACAGTACCGCTTGAATGTGCATATGCCTTATACAGAGTTTTGCAAGTAACCAGTCAATGTTTAATTGCTGTCATTCCAAACTGGCATCAGCTTGCGGTTCAGGAAGTGTGCAGATTGTAGTTGCCTGGATTAGACTTTATCCGAAATTTGAGAGCGATGCCGCTTGCCTCTTCACAACTACCTCCTGTTCACAATTTTTGCTTAGTTCCGAAACTTTTCTCTCTTCAGGCTCTTGAACCGTATCCAGCGAAGGATGGTGCAAAGCTTTCGGCAGACCAGACTGAATATGAAGTGGCTAAGGAATTTTTGGGAACATTTGCCCCAAACGAAAGTCCACAAATTGTAAGTGACTGTTGGAATGATAACACTAATAATAAGCTGAGATTATTATATAAAAAATAAAGCACAGAATAAAGCGGAATCATCTCCAAGGGATGTGCGGCCAGATTTGGGATTGCTTGTGAAGCCATCTGATAAATATTTTATGNAGATTTGGAGAACCACGTAGAGATTGTTAGAGATGTGCAGTGCGAACTGCATAGTAGTAGTGGCTCTTCCATTCACATCTCCTTTCTAATCGTTCCGTTTTTTTTTTCTTTCGGCGTTGTTGCTCAGAAGGGTGAATTATGCCTGCTCCTTTTATTTTGTAGTATTGTGGCATAATAATATATGGATATTTAGATACTGTTATTGTGAAAAAATGCGCGCTTCCTGTTTTGCGAAGCTCCCTTTTTTCTCTAACGAAATCCTTTTTCCTTCTATTGTTTTTGTTAGATTTCATTTATTTTATTTTTTTAATCACTTTGGGTTCAACTTTAAAGGCTTAGTTCACGGCAAAAATGGTTCAGAGGGTATTCCGCACTATTCGGGGAAATTCATTCGTTGAGATGGTATTCACTTTATGTGTATTTATTTATATACTTTTTTTCGTGGAATTATAGTGTCAAGACGAACGGTAACTTTTTTGTGTTCATGTCTTTATTATGCTGGATGGTTTTTTTATCGAGAATCACTGAAATGATTTTGGAACATGTTAGAAACTCCAAATACGAAACAGCAATAACTCTATTGAATGTGGGTAACGACAGTCATTCCTATCGTTAGAAAGTAGGCGCATGACGAGATTGTAAATCAAATTCAAGTGAAGTAAAGGTGAGCACACGATACCTAGTTTAGGAGTTTGTACCACCATCCGGTTAGGAGGCTGCTTTAAATGTTTTGTCAGAAATCGTGTGCGTGATGTAGTGCATTTCGCCTGAGATCGACTTCAAAGATTTGTGCGTTGACATATAAAAGCATTTGTTTGTAAATTTGAACTTTCAGGGTACTCTTTCAAAATCTGAATGGGAAGCATTTTGTATGTATCTGGTTTTCGCGTTCCGGAAAAGGGAAGGCTCCAAGAGTCAAAATGATCAGGAACATTCTGCAGCACAGCAGCTTAGGAGTTCTGAGAAGAAACATAACGAAAGCTAATAATTCCGGGAGAATGGAACGAAATCGATAAGCTGATACTATGCACTTGTGTGTGCCAAACAACTTTTTCGTACCTTGTTTGTGATTTAATTATGCATTTTCTCGCACTCCGAATCGGCACATTTTCATCTTCCGTCATCCTCCATAGTGGAACTGCTTTCTATTTTTGTTCTCGATGTGTATTCCTGAAGTGATCGGTATTGGTCTCAAACGTAGTTTAAGTGAGCGTATTTTCCCCGTACTTTGTTTCCATTGCTGCGTATTCTATTTCTTTGCTATAACTTGGTTCAACAACAGTGTTTTTTAAATAGTATTTTCTCCACTTTTAATGAATAAAACTACATTCATTTGAGCACATGCCAATATGCGATTGGTTCAGATGCACCTTGCGTTTGTCTGATCCCGGTATTTCGCTAGCATTTTGATAGATTACTTAATATGTATTATTTAACTTCAGATTCATCGGTTGTACGGGTAATTGCTTATGTAGGACGCGCATTAATTAATCAATTGCATGGCTGTTGTCAGCATGAACTGCCCGTGATACTAATAACGGTGAGCTCATGCCATGAAGCTAACTGTAAACTAGCGAGCGTTATTTGTATCTTCCTACGAGCTCGAACTTGGAGGAAATATTGTGGTGACTGTGACTTCTTTGTTTACCTGCGACTGCAAAGTGACAAAAGATAGAGACACTCTGATATTCCTGGTGATTTTCCTAGTTGGGATTCGTACTCAATAAATGATCAACACGAAAAAAATATGAACGTGTTCATTAAAGGAGCAGAAAAAAATTAGACTATTCTGACCACCGAATGGGCGGAGATGTTGTAGTGGCAAGGGGCTAGTATGGTCCGGGAACCAAATCCCGACTCGGCACTCGCCCAGGCCAACCAGTCTTTTCATTCTTTCGGGGTCGTTTGACGGGTACCAGTATAGACGGGGAGGATAAAGGCACTTATCTGCAAGTTTGCTGCAAACCGCGAGTCACTGTAAAGGCCACATGCGGGGGTGTGGTGCAGTTGGATCGGAATTGTCGGTTCGCCGCGAGAGACACCGCACGCGAAGAAGTTAAGCAGAGTGTAATAAATACAATAACGCGGCAAATATCCGACTGACGTAAATCGAGCCCGTTTTCAGAGTGCACTCAACACTGGACTTCTATTTAGAACGTAGTAGCGTTTTGAATGCATATAAAAGTAGACGGGCAGTTGGATCGGTTTTGTATGACTTCATCCTTATATTAATTCTTATGGCTCTAGAATAACCTTCGACAATATCCAGAATATTGGCGCAGCAATGCTTCAATAGGACGGACGAAACAAATTTATCGAACGCTCCGGCGATAAAGATCAAGGCAGGCCTCATCTATACCGGGTCCGGGAGGTCTCCTGGTCTGAAGTCTCCTAGTCGTGGGTTTATCTTCCCTTATTATACGATTAGTTTCGATGGTTGCTCAACTTTCGGGTTCTGACGAAGGTGAACTTGCCGAAAGGTTAGCCCTATAAGGTTTGAAATATTGGAGAGGCTTGTGCATACGTACTAGTCAATATTGTCTCTAACTATTGGGTTGTAACATAAGTTCGTAGAGTTTTGTGTTAGGGTCATTTTACAACGATACGCTTTGTTTTTTGGCGAAGTGTATATACTCATTCGAAAGAGCTCTTTCTCCTCTATAAAATAGTTTTATTCGTTTTTTTGGATAATCTAGTTGTCGTCTTTTTTCTGGCTCAGAATTGGAATATCCAGGAGGAGGAAATCAGCATTTTCGACATCAGCTTTTCATTGAGGTCAGTAAGCAGCTGAAGCCGCTCGGGACATATGCAGTGTGTACGAGGAAGGTGTCTTAGGTGTGTCTCTGGGTGGCCCCAGGAGAGACACCGAAGCCGGGAGTCAAGCAAGACCTTCACTCAAAATGGGTCATGATTTGCGTTTGGTGAGACTGGAAAGGCACGGTGCACTGGGAAATGTTCGAACGAAATGCTACTGTCAACAAGGAGGTCTACATAGCCCAGNGGCTATTCTGCTGAAAAGACCCGATAGACAAGGTGAAGTCATCTTGCTCCACGACAACGCCAGGCCCCATAATGCCCAAGTCGTCAAAACAGCACTCCAAAAGCTTGAATGAGAGGTTCTTCACCATCCACCGTACTCTGCGGATCTTGCACCTACCGACTATCACCTTTCCGCTCTCTGTCGAACCAAATGAGGAGTGTTACCTTTGATGGCGAAGAGGTTCTTGGAAACTGGCTCAACAACTTCTTCGACACCAGACCGGCCGATTTTTGGCGAAACGGCATCAACAAATTGGTCGAGAGTTCGGAGGAGGTCGCAAACAGTAACAGGAGGATACATCATTGATTAATTTATTATTATATTTATTGTTTTTTGTTAAAACAAATCTCTGTGAAAAAACTCTACGAACTTATGTTACAACCCAATGTAAGTAGAACGTCTTCATATTTAAGGATGTTCTGTGGACAACATTAATGTTTTCGAACTTAAGTGAAATAATTAGTGAAATAGAGACAAGCCTGTCTGTAGAACCTTGCATTGCGTTTTCACGGTGCTTCTGACGTTCTTACGTCACTATTCCTCCTACTCTTGTAGGGACGAGCGCCGTCATTCTCGTTTCACCGCGCTGTCCATTCTCCATTGGTAGTTGCTTGGCGCTATAAAAGTTTCACTGCACCCCACTCTTACTGCTACCGCAAACTCTTCCGTTGATTAATGGTCAGTCTTCTTGAACCTTGAAGCATACAGTCGTGCTTCCATTTGACCTCACATACTCGGTTCTATGCGCAGTCATCTTTGTGTCCAAACCGAGGTCTTTCCGTCGTTCCGCCCATCGCTACGAGGGCGAGATACCGTAGCCCTATCGCGGCGAGCCACGCCCCTTCCCTCCGACGCAGAGGCATGAACGAGTGCGCCGGCTGCGCTCAACCAATTCTTGACAGGTGAGTGATACCATAATCCAGTGAAAGGTCACTTTCTTGATTGCCATAAGTGTTCTCTATCTCGGTAGCGGCCAGCTGACGGACTTGTTGAGCTACTACCAAACCTATGTTCATTCGCATTATCAGCGCTATAATTGCTTCAGTAATTGTATTTGTTCAATATGGTATGCCGCAGTTTTTTCTTCTCTCCTCTAATGAAATACATACGTTAGTCGGTTAACAACTTGCGGCGACATCTCTTATTTTTGTGCTCTTCTGTCGGCTTAGTTTAATGCACTACGTAAAAACAAGTTTTCATGGATGGTTCCGTTAGTATTCATTCTTCGTTCTCGGCGATGATTTATCGTCCTCCAGGGGCAGGAAGAGAGGGTCATACGTTCGTGCGTTGGCTTACTTCGTCGAGCCTGAGCCCCTCGGGGTAATATGTTACTCCTGTTGACGTCCGACGCGCAATCCACGTTTTCATTCATGCAAATGAAGTTGTGAACGTGGCAAATGTGCACCAAATCATTGGTGGGTAATCTCTAGATTGATGTTAGGTAGAACCGATCTTGATCCGTAATTTAATTGGCTCCCAATTCGTCCATTTGGCATGGGCTATCTGTACAGGTAAATTAGTGATTTTCTTATTGAATGCAGTCGAAAAACCTAATATCCGGGTAATATAGAGTAAACTCGAAAGCTTCTCTGAAAATGCCCGTTCATTAACTGTGGAGCAAGCATACTGGAACATCGTACCTTCACTGAAAAGCTACCGTAACCTTGAAGAAGGTTATAACTTGATCCCAATTCATATATAACTTTTTGAATTTGAACACTCTTGAAAAATGGTTTGTCAGTCCCTTATTTGATTTAACAGTAACATTTCATCTGCTCATATGTTTTCATAAGGAGATTTCGCTTGTTATATGTAAGTCTGATAAAAATGAAGTTGAAATTCAGGTATGTATTCAATGTGGTCGGTAAGTCGTGGCACCAAGCATGTTTACGCTGCTCTGACTGTCTATCGCCGATGACCGAAACATGCTTCAGTCGCGACGGGTTGATTCTGTGTAAAAGCGATTTCGCCAGGTTAACCCGAATTCCCGTTGACCTCGTTCGAGAAGACTAAAAATCATATTCCTTTACTGATCATTTCAGACGTTATGGCCAGCGCTGTGCAGGTTGCGATGGTGCGTTGGAGAAGGAAGACTTAGTTCGGAAGGCCCGTGATAAAGTGTTTCACATTCAATGCTTCCAGTGTTCTGTCTGTCAGAGGCGGTTGGACACTGGGGAACAGGTGAGTGCTCTCTCAAGATGGGCTTCTCCATAAATGCTCAACTCCTGTAGAGGACCATTGAGCAGTAACTCTAAACAACAAATTAATCCAAAAGTAGGTTTCAAGTAGAATTTCTTGAACTCTTACCAACGTAGTCTTGTGAAACCTACTCAATACTTCCAGTTCTAGAGCTTCCTAAAATATTACTGCCTATTGGGCCTGTAGAATCACTTTCTCCCAAATCATTTCAATCTAAAACACAGGTAATTAATCAAAAACATTCAGGAATTCTATCCATCTTGCTTATTCTCCTCACTTGTTTTCCAATATTACTGTAACATAAGTCATCTGACGTATCATAGCGAGTTGAATTAAAAGATGACGGTTCTTGTTTATTAGCCTGTTCATTTTATCATTTTCTAAATGCAATAAAAACTCTCCCTTTCAAGCTTCCGTGAGGCCTTAAGAGAAAGCATTCGTCTTTTTGAGATATATCCCCCTGGGTGAATCGAACAGACACACGGCTGAGGCACAGCTTGCTAGTCTATGGCTGAAGCTCAATCTAGCTCATTTTGAAAGGTGGACAAGTTAAATAAAGGCGGGAGGCGGAAGCTGTCGAAGGTTGATGTGGTGATAGCATCGCTCCAGTTGGCACAAAATGTCGGATAAATTCGGAAGATGTCGGGCAATCAGTACGAATTATAAAAATCTTAATTCAACAACCTGAACTATATATTTGTTCTGACATGACATGACATTATACTTGTGATTCCCATATTTTCTTGATCTTCTTTCTTCCTAGCTCTCACTGTATCGATACTGGTTTCTGAACATTATACGCTTTATATTTTTTATACAGCAAATATTTGAGCCTCAGCACTTTTTTCTCAGTTAATGGAGAAGCAAATCACCAGTGGTTGCCATGCTCGTTCTGTAGATTTCTCACTATCAGAAGAAAGTTTCGTGGTCTTAGAAAATCCTCATCTTTTTGTATCAGATTTTTTCTTTTTTCTAAATTTCCTTTTGATCATAAACATTCTGGATTCTCCCAATTCCTACTGACCTTGCAGATTATTGATTGATTATTAATCATTATTTTTGATTGATGAATTTACAGGGTAGAATATGTATATATCTCAAAAAATTCGATTTTGTCGACTAGGTGATCTCTTCAGACTGCAAGTTTTACATCGAAAGCATCTGAATGAAGCAGCTCTCCGATTCCTGTAGCTTCCAATAAAAATATGTCTTATTTGGTATCTCCTCCTGTAATTTAGCCACATTCTGTCATTCTGATTAGTTCTTCTCATCTCAAACTCACTAATGAAGGCATCAATTCGATGGACGCATTTTGATTGATCTCTTGAAACGATCTTTCCTGGTCGCTTGGAAAGAATTTGAAACATTCCAGTTGTACATTCTGGAGGGCAACCGATTCGTCTGTCAGCAGGACTTTCAAAATGCCACCAAAAGCTCGACTCCCTCATCGACATCGAATCGACCAGGTTCGCCATCTTTCCAAACTCCTCTTACACTTCCTGTAAACAAACCTTTTTTTACAAGTGTGCTCCTTTGTGGGCAGGGGATTATGATAATTCGAGAGAAGTTTGTGGCGGCGTTCTCGACAAGTCGGCCACAAAAGGCTTGGGCACTCAGCTGTGTCGAATCACCCCACACTGAGCCGCCCAATGTCAATGCATCAGCAATCTATGCCGAGTTCATCGACACGTCTAGTGGCTTCTGTATTCTGAATGAAACACACCTGAGAGTCTGTGGAAGGAAAATGAATTAAACAGAATGGAAAACTGTTTTTTCAAAGTATGGTTGACTTTGGACTGCAAAAATTTTTCCTCCTTTTTCTCCCTTTTCTTTCATTCAATTTTGCAGACTAGAGCAGTTGTTATTAAAAGGTTAGTCCTGCGGAAAAAATTTGTTAAGTTTGGTTTTTGGCGGAGGTATGTTAGATCCAAAGGAAATTCAAGCGAAAATTGTATGTTCTCATATCATAGCCGTGTATCTCGCGTTACTCCTGCCATTTACCCGTACTAAAATCGCTTTTGGAAAGGAATCGACCCGGTTCTTCCTCCACTTTGCTTTTAAGAGACCTTGGTCAACCGCTACGGGCTGAGGACGAGGCCATTGCGAGTTAATCCTTATTCAGAGCAAAGCTCTCGGAATACAGTAATCCGTTGTCATGTTTGCACATCTGGAGCATGGGTTTTCATGAGCCGCCTTCCCCCGAATCGGAACATCTTGTCGGATACATCTCTACAGCCCTTTTTCTTTATCATGAAGCTGTCGTCCAGCGGTCCATTTCCTAGAAATTATTCGAAATGTGCTGAAGAATAGATCACATAGCCAACTGCGTAATTTTATCTCCATCGGTAACGAGCCAATGTTCCCATATTTGGAGTCTCCATGTTGAATTGTGAACGAAGAGATCGAGGCGCATCCATTTCAAATGTCTTGGAAAATCTAGAAGTCAGTGTTTCTATTTTATCTACTCCAAGAGAGCTTTTGATCTATCTGCACGGAACAGAAACAATTTTCTTTTATTCGCTGAATCCACCCAAAAACCCCGCATTTTCAGTTTCTGCCAGTTCTGGATGTAATTCCGACGCTGAAGAAGAAAATGTGGACGGGGCAGAAGACGTAAGTATTGTTGGCCCCTGTAAAATAACTCTGTAAAACTCACGCAGTGATCGATTTTCTGTCATTGGCAGGTGCCTGTCGACGAGACCGAAGGCGGCGACGGCGAGGGAAAGGACGATGCGGCGGCTGCGAAGCGACGAGGACCGCGGACGACCATCAAAGCCAAGCAGGTGCTTTTCTCTCCAAGCTCTGATCAGAAAAATTGAATTGAGTTGTTAAGAAATTTCACCGGTTTCATGATAACCCTGCAAAAAGCTTGCGTTGCAGGGTAGGGCATCCTTATATCTTGAAGCCAGGCGATTCCGTATAGTGGATTCGGATCAATGTAACAGCAGGAACCATACTCCTGAAAGGCAAACTATTGAGAGTTCAATTCAAATTCGCTCTACCTGGTGAGGGTGAGCACCTTCACTAGGTGTCCCTGGCGATGAGCTTAAACAACCACGATATGGTCAGCATTGTTCGTCAGTAGTAAAGTGCATAAGCACAGTACTCATTGCCTCCTAGTGTCTGATTCCCTCGTTAGCAAGATAAATGGGAAGTTTGAAATGAAAGCGAAAAACACTGGTTTTCAGTACAGGTTTCGTTAAAAATTCAGGTGGTTACCGAGATTCATGACAGTGATTGTTTGGTTGTTGGTTGTTCAATAGGTCTACATAATGAATGGCTCAGTGCAGGTCTCAAAGCGGCTTTCATTTAACCGTGCTCTGAATAGGGTGATAACGGCTGAGAGTCAGCCATTCAGCCATCAATCTTGGTCAATAGATAAACTAACACAGGAATCCTCAGTGAACGGTGACGTCCTGAGAATTCAATATTGGGCGTTGTATTCACTAAACTTTTTCGATGATAATGAGGCTAATCAGTTAGCAAATAAAAAAAGTTCAAAGTGGAACCTCTCAGAGAACTGAAACTAATTTGATCTTGTACCCCAGGTAAAGTCAGGTTAAGATCAGTGGGAAAGGGTGACATCTGTAGATATGGGCAATTTCGTTACAATGAGCAGACAGAGGCTTTGAAACCCAATATAAAAGAAGTGATATGTTGCTCTTGAGTCAAGGAAAAGTCATGCGTCATGCTAGGGAGAAGTACCACCGCATATTGTATATGAGGCAATTCAAGTTTGCCTAACGTTGAGTTTCTGTTCAGTTTTCGATGGTGGGACCACGAAGAAGGTGGACATTTTGAACGAATAAATGCGACCGTTACATACCATTGTAGAATCTCCAAAATCAATCTGGTTCTAGTCCAGAGTCTAACTTGAAATTAGTTTGTAGTCGTCTCCTCCAGGGTTTTTCTAACCGTTTCTCACGCGATTACGGTAACTGTGAGGCATTCTATCCAGACAATGACTAAACGTCGTCAATTCTCAGCGCAATTTTCCCGTGTGTTTGGCATTATCGATCGAGCGGAAACGGTTTTTTGTATGTAAAACGGACTACTTTCCTGAATAAAGAAACTCATTTCATCAACAGTTACTGCATTTTCGTAACGTTTCATTTTCAGTTGGAGACATTGAAAAATGCGTTTGCTTCGACGCCAAAACCGACACGGCACATTCGAGAACAGTTAGCGCAGGAAACTGGACTCAATATGAGGGTCATTCAGGTAAGCTCATTTCTTAATCGATTCTATGGCAAACTCGGTGGATGCCTCTCACCCTTTAGACATCTTTTTGTCACCTTTCGCAAGTGAATATACTTTATAACCTGGATCTTCTTAGATTCACATCAAAAGTGTATAATGAATCAGTCGTCTTCATGAAGAATTTCATTATTTATCTGAGGAATCTCGTTCTCTTATTGCCAGCTGATCTAATTCAGTTCAAAATTACTCAGAATTTCGCTAATTTTTCAGACACTACAAACTAGAAGTTCTTTGCATCGGTGTAACAAAGGAACATTTTGCAATCCTTTAATCGGGCTTCTTCAGATGTTATTTGAGCTGTATGTTCTTATACAGACTAATCTTTTCGTTGGTCTTGAGTAAATTGGCAATTTCTGAGATCACAATGTTCGCAAGAAAGTAATCTGGATAACTCTTAAGGTAGAACTCACTTTCTGGTGACACCTTTCCTTCCTTTCATGACCGCAATGGCTGTTCGTTCGGTCAGACGTCTGGCCAGCGGTGCAGAAACTGGGTGTCAGCGTTGATTAGATTCGCTTCGATGTATGCGTCTCCCTCAAGCTCATTCTATGTCGACTGAGCCTCATTTCCCCTTTAATTCACCTGCTACTCCCTCGGGAAGCCAATTCAATTACCGTATACCCGCTCTCGAGCAGCTCAGTCCGTAAATACCTCCGGCTGCTGTGTGGTGTGCGTGCATGTGCTTCCGCTGACGCGATCAGCAATTCTACAGTAAGAAAACGAAATCTGTTCAAGATAAAGGGTGGATTCTATCCAGCAATCTGTGTCAATGTCTGCACCAATAAGCAGCATTGTAGAAGGTCCATATAGAAGTTCCCAGAGGTTACTGAAAACTGAAAAGCAGTCCAATTGACCACCTCTGGTTGTTTCGGGGCTTTGTTAAATTATGAAGACTTCATTTACTGTGCTCAGAAATTTTCAAAAAAAGTTTGAGGCAGTTCAATCCATTACTCTTTATTCGTAAGTAAGTGATCTTATTCTGGTCTTGGTTGGGCTATTCTGTAGTTGTACACCTGTCCTCAGTTCCTTCTATTAACGCACTCAGTTGAGCGTATAAATAAAATAAAAATGAATAAAAGTAAGACCACTGGTTCTGCCTTCTACAAGAGGTTTTTGTTTGATTCTGGTAGAATGCCGCCTTTACCCAGTTTTTGAATGAGAAACGGTACTCTCTCCTTACTTCCTATTACGAATATCAATATCCAACCTGAATAATTTTGTCTGCGGTGATGCTATGAACCAAAATGAAATGTTTTGATCATAAATACTGCACAGTCTGAGTGGTTCTTGGGAACTATTCTAGGTCTGGTTCCAAAACCGTCGAAGTAAAGAGCGGCGCATGAAACAGTTACGATTCGGGGGTTTTCGTCCAACGCGGCGGAGTCGAGGTGGTCGTGACGATCTGTGTCAGGATATGTTCCAAAATGGTTAGTTCATTATGGTTCCTATTATCTACAGGCTTAGAAACTAGAAGCTGAGATGGAAAATCGAATGTTGAGAACATGTCTTTCTACTTTGGCGGCTGACCTGTGTGCAGTTCTGAAGTGCGGAAGGAGTATCCTATGTTCTCTTTTCATTTTGACTTAAATTCATATGGGTGTCGCCATCTCTTCAACGAATTCTTGTTCGGGGACACCCCGAGTAGCTAAGATCCAGTCTTTTTATGACTTATTTACCTATCGATAAACTCCGGCAAGTACCAGCCGTCGGTTACGCCCTCTCGTTGATTGCGATGATTACCCGCATTGCGTCATAATACGCAGACCGCAGGTGACACCATCATGACCATAAACCGATGATTACCATATGCATCAATGAGTCGTGAAGAGGCAAAACACTTGACTCAATTCTGCTTTTGCGAGAAGAGATCTCGTAGCTTCCAGAGGGGCCGCCGCCCGGATTCTTCAATCAACATCCAATCAACTTTTTCTGCGATCCATATGGTGAACGAGGTCCGTTGCCACCACTGCCGGCTTTCCCTGTGACCACTGACACACCTCATCCTTTGGTGCACGGTGAGAACGACGTTTTATTTCGCTTAATTTTGACGTTGAAATGGAATTCTGAATAGAAAATCACGTTTTGTGTACGGACTTCTGATGCGTATCATCGCCTGGTAGTTGTTATGATTTTCGTCCTTTCTGCTTTTGCACTGAGACGAACTTTGCTTAATCGAAACTTGACGAAAGAAACTCGTGTGGGGTGTAGTTGAAGCATCTATGGAAATCTATCAATAAAGCTTTGTTAATGTGGTGCTTGACTGAAGTATGCTATTTTTAGATGGCTTCGGTGAGCGAACTTCTCCGATGACGGCCTCTGGCGGTGGCAGCGGTGTGGTCAGCTCAATCCCAACATCCCTTCTTCCCACCGACTTTGATCCGGAAATGGGCGGCTACCAGCCGTTGCCGTCGATGTACTCCACGGAATTGAAAGTGCATCCAATGGCTGGCTGGTAGCCTACGAAGAGCTTCTCATACGGAATCCTTACAACCTTGCACTCTTACGAACCACCCATTGGGCAGGGTTCAATTTTAGTGAAGCTCTAGTTCGATTCGTCGCTTTTCATGTTCAAACCAAAGTTCATTTTCCGGATTGGATCGTCCTATATGTGGCGCGCGTTTTAATCATATCATTTTTTCAAAGGCACTCAAATAGCAATATCAAACAGCAATGTATATGCGTCGATTATTATTATCTCCATATGTTGACACCCTTTCAGAGGAATTCCACTACTTCTTCCCTAAAATGTGCCCTCTACGGGAATAGCTTTTGGCCGCCCTTTACACTCTGTCCAATGTCCATTTTTGGTGCGACATATTGAAGCGAAGAGATACAACGTTTGCGTTTGGAAGCTGACATAGAAAAATACATTTAAAAAACATTCTCGGTTGGGGATATGTACGATTCGCTTTGTTTGTTACCACCACGTAACTGTGGTTTGCCGTCGCATCATGGCAATCGCGCATTACATGTAGGATGACCTAGTCAAATGTCAATTCTAGTATGTAGTGCAGTTTCTAACCGTCGCGTCCCACTTATCCATTCATATCTGGGTAAATCGTTTGTCCTAATTTCGCCATATTTTGTCTTCGTCGTTTCTATATTTACCACTTGTCAGCATTTTGCGTGCCGCATCATCGATATCCAGTCGTTCACTTTTGAAGCGTTAGCTGCTTCCGTGGTTCGCCTCAACGCGTTGTTCCGCTTTCACGTGGGCTGCCACTCCTCGGCCGTTTTTTTGCGTCTTCTCAATCATTCAGTCATGTTTTGTGATATTCGATATCAATCTCCCATATCATTTATTGATGTCCAGGTCAATTTTTCTGCGAAATAAATAATTTATTTTTTGTGTTGATCAAACGGTTACCAAACGGTCATGTTAATTCCGATTGTATTCCTGGGAGAAGAAGTCATTCGTTGGTTTTGTCGTGATGCATAGTGAATTTCTAACGGAAAATACGGATCACCGAAAGTAATTACAATTTTTGAAAACGGTTTTTTCGAGAAGCTCTTAAGTGGTTTAAATGCTTCGGACTGACTTATACTACAGGAATATGCTTGCAATTTTTGAAGGAAACTGAACAAATTTCATTTTCATTTGCGATGTCATGATTAGTTTGAAAAGGGATGTCAGATGAAGCATTCTCGGCACATTTCACTTTTTTTGCTTCTATCTTGGATAAAAAGCTGTTTGTGTTTCTCTTGATATAGGTAAACTATATACTAAGGTGACAATGTCCTTTTACAAAGCACATGTGAACACTGATCTTTTCAACAACTTTTCATTCCAGCATTTTATCACTTCAAAATGGGCTGATCAGTAGGTAGGTATGAGGATATTTTGATGGCATCGACCGAAGCCGATCTTCATGTAATCAGTATTAGGTTGAGTAAAAAGTTTCGATCGACTCTGATTCCCTGTCTAGATTCTTTCGTGAGGCCGCTCGGAAGGGTTTCGTAATGAGTTATGGTAGACCCATCCCGAACCTGTACTCCAAGGGGATATGCATATAAGAATTTCCCTGTAGGCATTTTGCAAATATATGGCTTCAACCTTCAACTGTCAACCTAAGCTGTTTAAGAGCTATCGTTTATTACGAATTACTTTGAGGGCATAATCCATCGACGGCTATCGCAAATATCTGTGGTGCACTCAGAAGAGACTTCCGTATCTCAACCCACGAGTGCCTCGTGACGAAACACCTTCGAAACAGCGGAGAAGTGGTTTACATCAAGGAAGGTTTTGCTTCCGAGAGTTACGCTTCTCAGCTACAGAGTTTGGCCGACGTTATTCGAAGGAAGCGCCGGTAGCGGTCCGTAGCGAAGAAATGTTTGTCTTCTTCGCGACAGCGCTCGACCGCATGTTGCGAAACTGTCTCGTCTTAAAATTGCCGTCGAAAAAATTTCAAACGGCCGCATCGAATTGGGAGCTTCCTAGGGGAAGTTCCCAATTCAATGCGGCCGTTTGAAATAAACCTACGCTACTAGACATTTTCGTATGCTGATCCCAAATCTGCTTTTCAAATATGCCAAGCAATTTTCTTAGTGGAGTTATGAGGTGATTTAGGAAGGACTGACATAAGCGAACTAAAATTATGAACATGGATGCAACAGGCCTACCAGTGGCGGATCGGAGCAGTTTTGTGGGTGACGCTTCATAATCAAGAGACTGGGGTTCGGGTTTTGTGGGGGACGAAAATTTTTTGAATTGTATAGAATTTTTTTCTTGCAGCATGGAAATTCTTTTGATGTTGATTTTATCGCGTTCTACGACCTTTTCATAGTTGTGGGGGCAACCTTCCAACCCAAACCATGCAATATCGCTTCTATTTTTTTGCATGTAGGCGAAAACAGAATTGTGTAGGCGTTTTAAAATGGTTTGGGTAAGAACGTTGTCACTACAACTATCAAAAGGTCGTAGAACGCGATAAAATTAACATCAAGGGGATTTCTAGGCTTCAGGCCACAAAATCCGAACCCTAGTCTCCGATTATGAAGCGTCACCCATACCACTGCTCCAATCCTCCACTGGTAGACTTGTCACATCTATGTAATTTAAGTTCGCTTATGTTGAGCCACCCTAAAATCACTTCTTGACTCCATTCAGAGCATCAAATTCGGAAAGCAGATTTGAGATCAGCTTCCGAAAAATGTCTAGCAGTATGATCTAATTTCGAACGGCATTTCGACTTAAGACCCTTCCCACGTTAGATGGGAAGTGTTGTCTCATCCTCTTTAGTCGCCAGCACTTGCTCAGTCCGATAACCATTTGTTTCTTGCCCTGGAACATCATCTTCGCGATAGAGTTTTTATGATTACTCGGAACTCAAAACCGAAATTTCCATCTTTTTCGAATCGCGGCCGCTGCCTTTCTGGGTTTCAGCAATAGAAAAACTGCTGAGATGCTTTTTCAACGGAAATAAGATTTTTCGAAATAAAGATGAAAAAATCGATGACGACTTTGTACTCAACCTATTAAAATAGCAAGGAGTTTAGGTGCCAAATCAGTTGAGGAAGATACACTTGATGTCGCGAAATAGTGCTTGCGATTTGCGCTTCAACGCAATGAGGACACCCGTTTAGGAACCGAATAGTGAGTGGCTACTGATAAAACTCGGAACATTTACGTTAATTTTGCTCACAAACTATTGTGATAGATATGACATGAACCTGCTAAAACGAAGTACTGAGCTGGCCTTCATCGAACGAAGGCCGCGCTATCGATTTGATTGGATTATAGGGATACGATGAAGTTTAAATTGCTTTCAAAGAATGTTGATTTGGACCTCTTATCAAAATCTAATGGAGTAATTAAAAAGCCTCCCCCCCCCCCCCCCTCCCGCCTCCTCCTCCTCCAAACTCGAAGGTGTTTAGCTACCATGACGATGCTAGATCGCGTACATCGCATGATTCGGTAAAAATTATTGAAGCCTAATTGAAGGCTATTGCTGAGTTCACACATGTATAGCCCTGATCCCGCAACATCCGAATCCGAAAAAGTCGATCGTCTTTCAATAGGAAAGCCTTCATCGAAGACGAAGTTATCAAATCCCATGTAGTCCAGTTTTTTGGCCAAAAACCGGACGTTCTGCGGGAGTACGAGCAATGAGATTACCACAAGGAAGGTATAGGATAACCGAACGAAGCTGGGTATACGTCATTGATCGAGGTTCGTTCATTAGGAAAAATTCTCATATAAAACGCTCAAAAATCGTAATTACTTTTCGAACGATTAACGATTAGCAGCATTGATAAGCAGCACTTTATTGACTCTCCTAGAAACAAGATTATTCTTCATTCGAAATCACTCAGTCGTTGCTGGCAGGTGAAGGTGCTCGTCATTGACGATTAGCATTTTATGATCGGGTGTATCCTCGCACCCGCAGCGAATCCCTCGAGGATTCAGGTCTTTCGCTCCTTCTCACCTCGGGGTGAGGAAATTGTCAATCTGATGGGTCCGAGAGTGGTGGCCCGTCAAGCCGCGATTTTTTTTTCACGAATGCAGATGAGACAGCTAGTCCGCTATCGCCACAGCCCGCTGGCTCTTATGGGGCAGGTGCAAACGACATGGCGAGACAGCGCTAAATAGACAGCAAATCGAAATTACGCCAAGGTTACATTTGAAGGCTCTCCAGTGTTGCAATATCCCAGGGATTAAGATGTTCGCCTTCGAACTATCTCGATTTCATGGACGTTATTTCGGAAGCGAAAGATGACACTTCGTTTACAATAAGCTTTGGTCCTCTTCTTCCACCTTCTCGTCTCATTAGCATACGCCACAAATCTCAGCGAGCCGAAAGCGATCCATCTTTCCTCTCTACCCGCCACGCCATGCCAGCCATTTTTAAAGTCTTTCCAGCATCGACCAGTCATCACACAATAAGGGGATTTGCCTCGATCATCGCTACAGGGAATTAAATATGAAGGCAATAGAGAATGGTCTCAAAGTGGGCGAGGATAAGAAAATGCTCAAACTATAATACAAGTCCCATGAAGTACGCAGCGTTCTTGTTGAATACATCTACACAGTTCCACACGAGAAAGTAATGGAAAGAGGTGATTTTGAGAAAGAAACGACTGAGCTTTTGTTGTGTGATGTTAGCGGAAGATATACATGAAATGCCAATATGGAATCGGAGCTGAGAAGTTTGGTCGAAGGATTTTTTCTTATTCGCATGCGCAACAGCGTGAAACCCAGACAACCTCAAGCTGCCGAACCAGTTTCTATATTTCTGGCGGTCTTGACTGCAACTTCACAGCTGTTTTCACACCATATGTCACAAGGATGATGGTAACAATAATCTACGATCGGAGCACATCGACTACGGTAATTACCGTCTACAGGCAAAATATTTATAGGCTAAGAGACGCAAAGGGTGTAATGAAGATCGTAATTAGAAAATAGGGACAGATGCGTCGTACGGTGTTTAGGAGTGGCGGAACAATAGCACGTAGA